TTCGACTTTCGATGCTCACTGCTTTCTAAAGATATTACCAAAAAAATTGTCATGCTATCGAACCCCGTAATTTTGCTGAACAACAATCCGTCCTCATGGCAGATAAATATTGAAATCGTGAATGATGAAGCATTAAATAACACATTTGCTTCTATTCGAATTTCCACAAAGCACCATGCACAAGATGAAAGAAAATGGAAGAGCACCACCGGTTAGTAGAACACCTTTGAACAACCTTCACCCGTACAAAGTTCTAACCCCACCCTAGAATGCATCAGTGTTTCTAGTTCCTTTAAGCAACGAAGACACCCCACTGAGTCTCGGTACAACCAACCGGAAAATCGGTAGTAAACCGATCATCTGTAAAATGGGTGGACAGAATTGTCTGCTGCAATCATGTCAAGCCTGCAAGACACCTACTGCCTTGCTGTCTGATGCAGGCGTTTTACGACTGTAATTTGCGTTGACTGACCAGAAAGTTGTTCCAAATTCAGCACAACATGTAAGCAATGGATGGTAAGTAAAAAGTAAAAATGTCACAGAAATTTATTGCTATTGCTAAAGTGATAAATTAATAACAGATGTTGAAAAATAAATTTATTTGCAGTTTCATATTTGAATCTTTTGTCACATTCATTAATTAAATGTGACATAAAACAATCTTTTGCAGCAGTTTTGGCAAATTTTTTGTTTATCTGCGGCAGCATCCTGGACAGCAAGATATTAGTGAAGGAGCCAGAAAGACAGGTTGAACGACCGGATACACGACTGGCTGAACTATGGGCACAACCTGCTGAATTACCGGTTGAACGACAGAATAAGCTAATAAAATAGCCATATGAGAGCGACGTTACAAATTTCGCTATACCCACATTCCGGTCCTCTGACAAACGTGGATCTGACCCTGAACCCGCTGCTGGACTTAACTGGAGACGCTAGCTCTGCCGTCTCATACTGGTCCGATGTAACGGAGGGCTCGTATTGTCGTTTTTTGAGAGAAACCGAAGCGGCACCATTCGAGGATATACCTCGCTGAGGTGTCCCACTGTCAAAGTTGTCAAAAGCCTAAGTGTGATATACGACAAAGACATAGTACGCAAAAGCAAAATTAACCATTGCTTCGTCAAATGCTTCAGGGGGTGCAGCTGATGGTATCCCTGCTCTGCGGGTTACCCGACCGCTTCTGAACGAAGAAGGTGAGACTGCTTGTCCAGCGGATTTAATTCCTCGTTTCTGACGAAGCAATTTTTCTGATCCGCCATGGAATCCTGCAAATGAATGATTAAAAGATAAAGTTAGGAAAATGTGATGAATATCCTAGGTGCTTTAAACAGCAATACCATGAAAAATGCAACCATCAGCAAAGAAATAGCCATGCAAATAATTCATACAGACATCACTAATCTGTGCCGTAAAAACCTCGTCAGCGTCTGATGACGATGCAACGTAAACAACAAATTTTGGGAAAGAATTAAAGTTATGAGAAAAGATAATTCAACACGTGACCAAGATATCCCTGTGCGCATTACCTTGCTGTTTTGGTTTATGACGTACCGTTTCATTGATGGCTTCTGTCCTCAGTTCTTCACTCAAAGTTAAGCAATACATTGTTTCTTCCACACCGTCTACTTCCTTGCAAAGTAATCAGTCCTGTGGAAATCTGAGGTTTTGTAGACATCACCGCATCCGTGAAACTTGAATTTAAACGTTGCATCTTTAGCATTTTATTGAGTACGCATTCACACTTGCGATCTTTTCCGAACGGACCAGAGGCAAGTATGCAGGTCGGTTCCTGAAATATGATTATTTGCAGTGATCATCAACTTCAGCCATTTGCATAAGCAAGAATGTTTCTATTTTGCTATGTGAGTTAAATTTTCGGCCTTACAACACTTCTGCTATGAGGCAGACGTTACTGTTTCTCAAAAACCAATTCATATTCAAAAATACACCTGTCTCTACTTTACCCCTCCATGTTCTGTACCAACCTCTTGGTCCACATGTGCACTGCTTCAGCTCCTACATGAGAAATTTGAAAACTGGGATAAATCATTTACATTTAGCCACTTTGTCCAACAGAGCAGATCCATCCATCTAAATCTACGGTAGCAACTTGTGCTTGGA